CTGTTTCTAAGGAAGGTGGAATATTGCCTCTGAACCCTTCTTTTCTGAGTTCTGGTTAATTCCAAGGTTGGTCTGCCGCTTTTTCCAACGGAATACCATCTTCCCTCTATGATAGTTGCCAAAGGTTTATCATTTCCTGGCATTCTAATTGGTATCTCCTCCTTAGGCTGTTCTGGCATTCTTATGTTTTGCTGAACTGGCCTGAGATAATCCCTTTGTCTGACTCTGTTTCTGAGAGGAATCGGAGCTAGGCCTTGCTGGTGCGACGTTCCAATCCGGTCAAACACGCCGTGCGTGGGTTGTTTCTGCCTGTCCAGAGTAACTTCTAACTCACTTTCACACTTGCATTTACTGCATAGTACTATCCCGGCCGAGATGGTCGCCTTTGGCCTTTGAAAATTCTCCTTTGTAGTTCTCCCGCTTCTGCTGGAACTGGCATTTTCCCTTCGTTCTGGCCAATTTAAATTGACCATGTTAACTTGAGGTTGGGGAAACGGATCCATCGTGACTGAAGGTGGTTTTTCTGCTAGTTTCAATCTTCCTGCAGTTATTCCTTCCTGTATGACATCTCTGAACACGACACAACTGTTAGTAGAGTGATTCCAAGAGTTGTGCCATATGCAATACTGCCTGCCCTTAAGCTCCTCTGGTTTGGGCAGCTTGTGAGGCGTCTCTATTGCCTTTTGTGCCAACATTTCATCGAACAGAGCATCGACCTTGGTTAGATCGAAAGAGTAAACCTTGTTCTGTGTTGGTTTGTTTGGAACAAATCCTCCTGTAAATGGTGGCGGCTTCTGGTCCTTTGGTGGCTTTGTAAGGGCTTTGCAGCTGATAGGATGCTTTAACTTTGCCATTTCTGCCACTGCAACCTCTCTTTCCTCCGAGCCATCTGTGTCTTCTTCTGATTTTACTTCAATCAAATGAATTGAAGAAGAAGGGGACTTGTAGTATGTGCCTTTGGAAGAGTTCCTCTTCTGCTGTTCCTCCCTCAGCAGTTCCTCATATTTGGATGCTTTGTCTGCCAGTTCTGCCAGATCTCCGAACAGCATCCCGTCAAATCTTTTTCTTAACGAAATTTTGAGGGAGGTCTGAGCCATCTGAATGAAATGTCTTTCTTCCATGGGAATTCGGCACTTCATCTTGAGCTTCCTGAATCTGGTTATGAAAT